GCTGGGTGGATGGATGAGATATATAGGGTTTTCAGGGACCTTATAGTCTAAAGAGGAAGAGAGATCTGTAAGCACCTAATGTTGGTCAGTGTCAGGCAGGAAGGGTGCTCAACCCAGTGTAGGGTATCAGGGAAGCCTTCCTTGAGAGGGTGATGCCTGAACTGAGCCTTGAAAGATGAGTGGAATTTGGGAGAATTGGTGGGAGGGTGGGGCGGGGAGGGGAGGGAAGGCATGCCAAGCTGAGGGGCACTGTGGGCTGACTTTAGCATTGCCTTGCAGTCAGCTATTTCCAGAGCACAGAGGCTGAGGCAGGGCTGTTGGAGATGGGTCACGACAGGCCTTCCCTGGGAAGGTGGTGGGGAGCTCCTGGAAAGGTTTCAGCAGAGGAGTGACATGGGCACTTTAAATTTCAGATGGGGTGTTCTGGCTACAGTGTGAAGGGCTGAAGGGAAGGAGATGAGATCGGAGCTGGTAGTGGGGGGGGGCGGGTTCCTACAATGGTCTCAGCAAGAGATCATGGGACATTGAACTGAGGATGCATGTTGGGGACCCTTAAGTGGGGCATGTTGGATTCAAGGCATCCTAGGGCTGCTGAAGTGCTACACAGGTGCCCCCACAGGAGTGCAAAGCTGGGCTGAGCCTGGGAGCGTCAGGACCAGGGTCAGTGTGGGTTTGGGCACTGCCTGCCTCAAGCAGCAGTGCAAGCCAGAAGAGCAGGGTGCTCGCACCCCGGTACCTCAGGTGATGATGGGTCACAAGCACTGGAGGAGCAGGTGGCTAGAGGGATGAAATCAGAAAGTGCAGAGCTGTTGTTCAGAATTGGAGGGGGTTGTATGGTTCCATTCATGTGCTTCTGGACAAGTTGCTTCACCTCTGTGATATCTGGTTTCATTTTGAAATTAGGTGATTGTCTGATAAGATTATGGGTAAAATTGAAGGAGGTAATGATGCATGCAGAAGGCCCTAGAATTTGCTAGGACTCAATAAATGCTATTTCTTTTTCCTCCTGGACACTTCCCACCCTACCCACCGCCCCATTTCCTCTTATCTTTACCTCCTGTACCTTCCCCCTCTGGTGGGACAAATGTAAATAGCTGAGACTTCCCGCTGGGCTGGTTTAAGATGTCCATGCTGTTGGCTAGCCTACTCTTTTCCTTGTGCTGTCTCCTTTGTGGGTTCCTTTCCCCAAATTTTCCTGTTTTAAGGAGATTATGTGGCATCCTAAGTTTGTTACAGTGTTTGGTTAATGCTGAAACAACTCATTAATTATGAGCCTTCCCACCCCGTAAAATGCCTTCAAGGAGAACTGATTTCATAGGGATCAGAAAGCAAAATGACGCCATCCTTTTGCCTCCTACGCCGCCATTTCAGGTGTTAAGTCAAAGGAAAGGAGTTCTGAGAACCATTTAATTCAAAATGTTTGTATAGGGTCATTGCAGAAGCCCTCTTACAGTTATGAATGACAGCTGTCACAATACCATCTAACAAAATTGTTTCAAATAAAGTTGAATACAACTAAGTGCTACTAGAGCCATCTTACAGAAAATAAACAAACTTTTTGGCCAACCCAATAATACTCCATGAATGGAAGAAAAATGGAAGAAATGTAAAAGTCATTCTAGCTCTGACCGGGTAGCTGAGTTGGTTAGAGCATTGTCCTAATATGCCAAGGTTGTGGGTTCAGTCCACAGTCAGGGTGTATTCAAGAATCAACCAGTGATGCATAAGTAAGTGGAACATGCATGTTTCTTTATCATTCACTCACTCCCTCTTCCTCCCTATCTCTTTCTCTAAATTAAAAAATTTCAAAAAAGCATCAAGAAAAGTCATTCTGGACTCTTTAGAAAAGTGTGGCTATGAATAAAATAGGCCTTTGAGTAGCTTAGCTCAGTCTGTTGCTAGGTTAAGTGGGTGTGGTCCTTTCCCACCCCAGGAAAATATTTTATTGTTTAGTTAAAAATAACTGTAGGCATACCTCAGAGATTTTTCAGGTTAGGTGCCAGACCACAGCAATAAAGCAAGTACAGGCATACCTCACAGATATTATGGGTTCGGTTCCAAGCACTGTGATAAAGCGAGTATTGCAATAAAGGAAGTCTTGCCTTCTGTTTGTAACAAAGGGAAAATCTGTGGAGCGAAAATAAAGCAAAGCACAATAAAATGAAGTATGCCTGTTCCTTTTAATTTATAACTAAAATTCCAGCCCAGATGTTAATGTCTTTTGAGCTTTCTCCCCCCCACTCCCCACATCAAGCTCTGTTTTGAAGTTCCTAATTGTTTTATTTTTGCATTAGTAAGATGGGGTGATAGTGCAGCATGGATGTGAGCATTAGAACTAATTCAGGAGGAGAGCCTAGCGCTGCACCTGAAGTGTATAGCCACTCAGTACATGGTAAATGCTGTGTTAAATTGAGGTTGGAGAGAGAAGCGTTCAGCTGTGTGCAGGCAGCGTAACACTATATGAAAAGGAACCTATTGATTAAGCACTTAGAAAGTTTCCAAAAACCTCCTTTAAATCCCAAGATATTGGCACTCATGTGATGGATGTCTCGAGGCAGATAAAACAGCTGAGTCTTTTTAGTGGAAGAAACAGGGATCTTTTCACCTCAAGTGGCACTTGAAAAATATTGCTGTAATTAAGATACACAGTGTAGTTAGTTCTCAGAAAATGTAAATTTTTTGAGTTTTGAAGAAGCCTTACAGAGTTACTTTAAAAGACAAAACCAGCCTTTCCTGGAAATTAGCATGGGATGGGTTGAATTTTGTTTTTATATTCTACACCTGGTGATGTTGGGCTGTGCGAGTCCTTGAACTCTGCGCTCTAACTGCACCCTCTCCTCCTCCCTCTAAACCTGGGAGTCTGTCCGCTTGAATGGAAAAAAATTCCATCCTTTATATACAATGAATTCTAACTGAAATTTGGCATTTTCTTCAGTTATGAATGTAGGCAACAAAGCATAGTAATATTAGAAGTATCTCAACTTTGTTGCCAACAAATCATTATCGCATTAAAGGTTTCACAGATGCCTTCAAATATTATTTACATGCATTACTACTGTAAAACAATGGCACACAACAGACCTCCTTTTAGATCTTGTCACTTAGTGTATTAATAAAGAAGCACTTATGTTACCGTATCACAGTTTAACAATATTGTGATAACTAAAGCCAAGTATAATTTGTTTACTTTGAAATGATTTGTATTTTACTTTATGCATTTAAAAACAGTGTTTGTAGGAGATGTGCCCCCGCCCAGGGGTGTCACCTGTTTGCCAGTGGGGTCTGTGGCATGCAAAAGGTTAAGACCCTCCCCTTCACCCTTTGTTTAAATTTTATGCTAAGGGACTAGGACGAATGGAGTGGCTCTCAACCCTGGCTGCCCACTGGAATCACCTGGGGAAGCTTAAAGACCCCCAGCACCCAGGGCATTCCCCAGACCACTCAAATTTGAATTTCTGGCATGGGACCTGGGTGAGTATAGGTGATTTCACTGTGCAGCTGAGGATGAGAACCATTGGTCTACATGTTCAGATAAATCCTTCCCTCTTCCCTTCCTTTCTGATTTTTTAAATAAGAAATTAAGTTTCACGCTTGTGGTAGAAAATTCAAACTATATAGCACAGATCTCTCACCATTCTGAAGATAAGTATTTGGTGATTTTTTTGTGCATAAGGAATCATTATAGACACAGACATCCACACATGTGTCCACAGTGGGATTCTACTCTACATGTGGTACCACACAGACATACTATACAAGTTTTTTCACTTATAGAGCTTTCATAACCAGTTTCTGAGCTAGGTTGGTCCTCAAGGTCAAAATTCTCTTTCATTGGTGTTATTGATTTGCCTGAAACTAGAGAACCTAATCCCTAAGGCCCAGTTCAGGAGTAATTTGGAGACTACGTGTCCTTATTTCCCTTGTCTTATTTTAAGAACTTGTACAATGGAGAGGAAAGAATAGCACCAGAATCAGTCCTGTCTTGGGGGTGGGTCTTTGGGAGAGAATCCGTTTGCTCATTTGTCAGCTGGAGACAAAGAATGCTTCCTTCCTCACAGGGCTGCTGTGAAATGGGTGCAAGGTCTGTGATGGGTAGCTATCATCATTTTCCCCTTTGAAGGTTGTATTCTGCAAAGGGGCTTGGAATGTTCCTTGGGCCCGCTGAGTTCTTTTTCCCATTAGTATGCAGAGAGCAGAAAGCATAGGCTAGGTTAAGAAAAAATTCCTGTGCACCTACTACAAAGTTAGAGGGCCTGAACCCATGCCTCAGAATTGCCATCATTTGGCCAAATTAGGAGTTGGGTTCCAGGCCACACCAGTGATGAATCAGCCTAGTACTGCTCCTCTCAGCCTAGTACTTACACTAGGTTAACAAACTCCCAGAAATGCCCCCATGTTCTTATTGACGCATATCTTTGCATTTCATTGTATTTGCAAAGGCAGTTATGTTTAGAGTGGAGCCAGTACCAGAGCTCCTGGGAGGAAACAGAAATCACCCAAGGTGATTTGAATGAAGACTAATGGAAGGAACAGTTACAGAGGTGCTGGCCAGGCACCGTGGGACACCCAGGGACTAACAACAGAAAATCAATACATCCTTAGAGCTGAGGGGTGAGGGGAGGAAGTAGAGTTGCTGGAGCCCAGTGAGGTATTATAGCACTGGAAAGGGGCTGCTTAGCAGGAACTACAGTCAAGAAGAATGGTGCCCACCTGGCTGGTGTAGCTCAGTGAATTGAGCATGGGCTGCGAACAAAGGGTTGTGGGTTCAATTCCCAGTCAAGGTATGTGTCTGGGTTGTGGGCCAGGTCCCCAGTGGGGGCCACGTGGGAGGCAACCACACATTGATATTTTTCTCTCTCTTTCTCCCTCCTCTCTCTAAAAATAAATAAAAACCTTAAAAAGAAAAAAAAAGAATGATGCCCAAAGATGTGGTATCCTAGGAGAGAGGGAGCTGGTAAGACATACCAGCTTTCTGACCCTGACCTTTCTTCTTTCTCCAGCCCCCTAACCAGGCCTCTGGTTGGCTGAACCAGTGGGAATCCAGGCATTGGAGCCCTGGTGAGTAGTCTACAGGTGTCAGCTGGTCAGGCACAGGCACAGAATAGGACTGAGAATAGTGGGGGTGGGGCAGGCAGAATAACCAGATCACCAGCAGAGAGACTGTTGGATGTCAGAATTGTGTGAAGTGCTTGACAGAGTGCTAAGCACTTAATGATGCACCGTAATTACTGTTTCCTTCCCGTTGCCTCCTAGGGTTGGAATGGCAGCTTGTTCACTCCTGTTATAAGGAAGCAACGGCAAGGCCATTGAGACAGAGAGGGAAGGGGGAAGAGTTTCATCTAAAAAATAGCAAACCCTTGAATCAAGGTCTGTCATACAATAGTTTTCTGAGCTCTGGCTCTCTTGGTGTCTGTGCCGAGAAGCTCTCCATGTACAATGCCCTAGTTCACGGCTGGCACTGGGCGGGCAGTACGCTGAAGACATGGAGATCCAGTTAGGGAGATGTTAATATGGAACCTCCCTCTCTTGCTCCTGATACCGAAGCCTGGAGATTTCTAGTAGTCATCTTGGGTAGCTAGGAGACCACACTGGTGGTGGAGTAGCTCAGAGGCTCCTGTACAGGACAGCCTCTCAGGGCTCAAGGGAACACAGGGCTGCTTCCATAATTTGAGCCTTCCAATATATTTAAAAGGTAAGAAAGTATGTATTATGTTTAGTAATACCATAGGGAATTGCAATGTTTACATGTGAGAACAGAATGTTTTTAACCCAAAGAAACAATATAGCCTATCACTTTTTTTTGTAAGATAATTCTAGGAGGTACAAAAACCTGGAGACATAGCACACTAGAGAAGGTACAATCTGGTAATGGGACCTCAGTTCAGAGTTAGACGATGGATGTCCCCTGTTTCAACCCCATTGTTCTGTCTCTGTGAGGCTCGGGGACTTCACTGGGAGAAAGTAACAGAAGTCTGGATTGGGCTCTTCCGAACTTATGTGCCATTCCTCCATGTTCTGTATGCTTCGAGTCCCGCTGCCTCTATGCCTTTTCAGACCCTGACTGGAAGGGATTCCAGGTTGGAGTATGTCTTCATTTTGCAAAGGTATCAGGCTGACCAAGCATGAGTAAGTGAGTCTTGCAGGACTGTTTTGTTGAACAGAGTGGTCCAGCCTACCACCATGGTGACCGGTCTTCTTTCTGTCTCCACATGTTGACATTTCAGACCAGCAGTTTTCAACCAGTTCACTGCAAGAATTTCTGAAACGTGAAGTACCTTACTGTTGAGTCAGGGGCACTGACCTCTTTTCCCTTAGATTGTCAAATAAAAGAATGACAACAGGAAACACAACAATAACCATCTGGTATGAATGAATCAAAATTATACCTTTTTTTGTCAGATTGGCAAAAAATGTTATTTGCTTTTCGGTGTGCCACAGAATTTTAGTAATTCATTCATTTTTGTGTGCCTTGAGATGAAAAAGATTGAAAATAACTATTTTAGATCACTGGTAGTTCATAGAGACTTCAGTGAAGGAAAAAAAAAGGAAATGTAAACTACATATCTTTATTTATTTTTTAAAATAATGAACTGTCTGTTGAAAGATTTGGGAGCTAGAGACTTGGCTGATGAACACGGTGAAATACGTTTTATCTCCAAATTACATGCAGATATGATTAAGGCTATCTTAGTTTTAAAAGAAAGGTATGATTTGTTGTGTGACTTCAGCTCTATTATCAACAGTGTATTAATAAAAGAAGGCAGCAGTTTGTCAACTTCAGGTGTATGCGAAAGGCCAAAGGAGCTTGCGGAAAAGGCAGGTTGTTCCCTGTCCCGAGGTGTGGAGCCCTGTTGAGCTGACACCCCAGGTGGTTCTGGAAGCAGCTTAGGAAACACTTGCAGGGTGGGGTATTGGTCCTCTTAAGCCGTTTAAAGTTGTTGGTGCTTGATCAGGAGATCTTTGGTGTCTTTAAAAATTGTTTTTTCTTTTATTGATTTTGGAGAGAGGGAAAGGAAGGGGGAAGAGAAGGAGAGAAACAGCGATGTGAGAAACATCCGTTGGTGCCCTCTTGCGCATGCCCAGAGCGGGACCGAAGCCACAGCCCAGGCCTGAGCCCTGACCTGGAATCACATCTGCGGCTTTTCTGTTCGTTCGCAGAATGACACCCAACACACTGAGCCATCCCAGTCAGGGCAGTCCTTCGGTTTTTAAGTCAGAATTGTAAAATTCCTTTGGACCTTCTTACTGTACTTTTTTGTTTTGCTGTGACTCTGTCCTTTAGGCGGCCTGTCACTGGTCAGGCAGCTGCACCAGAAGTCGTTTCCCTGGAGAGGAGTCCACGGCCACATGGTGGAGGATGCTATCTTGTTTTAAAACAAAGAAATAAAACCCTCCAGCAAACTCAGTGGTCTCCCTGAAGAGGTGGAAAAGCAATCCAGTGGCGTGTGTCTGTTTCAAGCCTCTATTATTATTAATCCTGTTACAAATGATGATGCTTTCCATTTACAGGCTTGCTGTCTCTGAGGAGTTTTACATATCTCGTACTAGACCCTGCTGGGTGATTAAGCCATTCCGTCAGCATCTGACAGGCTGCTGGAGGACTGTTTGCGTGTGGCAGGCTCCTGTACTTCTCCCAGAGCTCGCTGTGAGGCCGTTAGCTGTTTCTTCTGGTTCCTTGGGAAGGGGGAACTACTCAGGGCCTAATGCTATGGGGTGGAGGCCCAGAGAGATGGGGTGCTCCTTGCAGTCTTATCCTTTTATCTTTCCTATATTATTAGAAGCTTCTTGGCGCCTTTGAGTGGGGCAAGGGTAGGGCCATAGCTTTTTCCTTTTAAGGTTCATTATTCTCTAGGGAAAAAAAAAAGCAAAATAAAACAAGAGGTAGTTAATTCATACTTTTGTAAGTAAGAGAAAGACAGTTGTTCCCTCACCAGGTTTTAAAGTTTCCATTTACAGTGCAGAACATCTTGGCTGATTATGGCAGTGAGTGTCAGGGGGCAGAATACGGGCAAATGAAAGGCGGGGGAACAGTTAAGGCAAGAGAGAGGTTGAGGTCAGGGGTCAGTTTGCCCACTTCTATAGCCTTTTAAGGCTAAGCCCTTCACACCTCAAATCTATATGGCCTATTCACAGCTGTGGTGAGTGAGGCTGTGACTGACTTACACAAGGAACCGGTGCTTCACTGCCCACCATTCCCCTGTCCTCTCCTCCAGAGGCCCGCCCCGGCCTCTCCGTGCTGCCTGCAGACCTGCAGGACAGAGGACGAGAGCAGGGTTCGCCTGGAGGCCTGGCGGGGCCTGGTGGGGCCTGGAGGGGCCTGGAGCCAACCTGTCGTGGGAGACAGGATGCCCAGCAGCTCCACTGGTTGGCTGGAATGTCCCCACTGCCCACGAAGACCTTAGTCAGCAACTTTGATTCTCAGCTTCTGCAGGACGATTGGTGGGAAGCCTCCATCCCCTCTCCCCATCCTTTTAAGTTAAAGTCAGGTAACACTGACCATACTTCTCAGACTCAACATCTAACCCAAGGAAGTGGTTGAATATCAGGCTTCTCCAAGACCCGTACCATTTTACCAAGTGATAGGTCGGACTTTTCGGGAAAAGTCAGCCCACCTGTCCCGCCACCAGTGTGCTATCACTGTGCCCCTAATGAATGAGGAGGCAATCAAAGTCACTGAGGGGAACCCTTCCCATTATAGCGTGAGCCAGAAGCCTCTCTCTGCCTCTCAGATCAAACCTGACCAGTGTTTGTGAGAGTACTGCTGTGGGGTTTCCTGGCCACTGGTCACCTGTCCTGCTGGACAAGGATGTCCATTCCAAGTGCTAGTTTAAGAACAGTGGCCCTGATTGAAGAGTCCAGGTGCTGATACTTGTCACCACGAGAGCTCTGTGTTTTGGGTTAGTCCCACAGGTAGGACACCCTCTTTTCAGCCCTTCTCCTAGTTCTCCAATGGAACACGCAGGGGGTGAGTTGTGATGCACCACTTTGTTCAGGAGTTTTAGAACTTGGTAAGCAGCCCCTGGGAGAGTCTGCTCTTTCTCTGCTACTCATGCAGTTGTCTTGTTGGGTATCTCTTCTGCCACCACCGTGACTGCTATTTCTTGCCTGGATGAGGCGATGGCTCTCCTTTCATTCTGCTTTCCCTGCCTGCAGGGCACCCCCGGCGAGCTTCTGAAAACACAAACCACATCGTCGTTGATGATGGCCATCAGTCCGCTGCTGCTGACCTCTCCTGCGGAGAGGCAGCATCACCTGTAGTTGAGAGCTTGGTTCTGAAGTGGCTCTGACTGGTTCATTCCTTTACTCGTTGGGTGACTTGGCAACTTAATTAACTTCAGTCCTCATCTGTAAAATGGAGAAAATATGATGACAGAACCTACTTCTATTAAGGATTATATGGTACTATGTGAAGCACTTAGACCAGTGCTGAATAAATGTTTGTCATTATGTTTATTGTCAATATTCTCCCTAAAATTCAGGGCCAGTTGTAAGCCTGTGAGGGGCAGCATGATCCAAGGCTGGGCAACTTCTTTAGCTTTAACTCCCAATTACCCCTGCCTCCTCCTCTGTTTTCTGCTGACACAGGCTTTGTTTGGAATCTCCAAAGCACCAAGCTCTCTCCTGCCCCCGGGCCTTTGCATGAGCCTTTCCTCTGCTGAGAATGCTCTTGTCCTTTCCTCTGTTTGGCCAACTCCTGCTTCTCCTTCATATCTCTGTGTAATTGTCCCTTCCTCAGGGAGGCCTCCCTGGACCCTGAGCTGAAAGGACAGCCTGTCATTCTCCGCTGCAGCACCCACCATTCCTTTCTTTTACAGTGTTTGCCAGCTTGCCATTTATCTTGTCCGTTTTCTGGATTGATATCTTCAAGTACTCCTATGCTTTAAACTCCGTGGAGCCAAGGATGGGGCTGTAGCGTGTAGCACAGGTCTGGCTTCTGGTGGCCAACACCACTCCCTAATTTCAGTGTGTGGTAAGTGAATGTGTTGCCTGCCCTGGGTTTGTGAGTGTCATCCTGGGGCAGATAGTTGACATGTGACTCAGTGCTTATTTGTTTATTG